CGCCTGATCTGTTTCCACCTGGAGAGCGATGGGCTCGGTCCACCAGTGGCTCTTTATCCATCTGTAGAACCTCTGCTAGCAGTTTAGCCACTGCTAAAGTGGAGCTGGATTCTGGTGTCTCAGGAACTCCAATAATCCACACATTACACCTTCTCATACGCCCTTCCATATCGCCACACTTCTTTTTGAGCCCAACGACTTCTTCTTTCAATTCCAACACGGTGGTGCGCAAAGCAACAACCTCATTGGTCCAGTTCGACAAGCCACCCTCCACCTCTTTAACTCTCTGTTTCACGTGGTCCAGATCTGCGCGCAGTAGCATCGTGCCGTTAGCTACTTCAGCTCTCACCGCTTGAAGCTCCCCATTTATAAGAGTAAACTCTTCAGCCAAAGCCGCTTTTATTTCGGATTTGATCACAGCTGAGAGATCAGTTTTTATAGCGGCAAGAACGTCAGACTTCAAGGAGAGTTCGTACACCTCGCTGCGGGAGGGAGAGGAGGGCCCCAAAAGTCCGGTCCTAGCTGCAGTCAGCTCCAAGGCGACGTCAGGCCTTGCAGCCGTCAAGCTGGAATGTTTGGCTTTCTTCGAGTTTGTCGCCATTCTTCTACTTTTTCAGGCAAGAATCACTCAGGGGTCGAGTCCGGATGGACCAAATGTTCAAAACAGCAAGGACATTTAGTATAGAACCATAAACAGAACAAGTCGGAGCGGGAGCCACGCGACACATGTCTCACTCCTCCGCCATCTTGCCACGCCTCCCCTCATTTTCCTTTATAAATCTCAATTACATTTTTATATCTAGACTCTTGCTTCTTTAGCAACTTTGGTTTGCAGTTTTGTCAAAGTAGGATGTGTTTGGCATTGGGGAACTTCATTAACAAATAGCCTGTTTACTGAAAAACTAACAAACACTTTTACAATACCTTCCTGTATTCTTCTTGCCTTTCCTTAGGGGAAGTGTCTACTAAGCCCTACTGTAACGGACGTGGCAACTGGAGTACTGAGACCTGCAGCTGCACATGTGAACCTGGATGGAAGGGCCCCAACTGCACAGAGCCTGAGTGCCTCAGTGACTGCCAGGACCAGGGTCGCTGTGTAGAAGGCAGGTGTGAATGCTTTGAGGGTTTTGGCGGGGACGACTGTGGTATTGAGATGTGCCTGTTAGACTGTGGTGACTACGGCCACTGTGTTGAAGGGTCCTGTCTCTGTGAGGATGGCTTCATCGGTGAGGACTGTTCCCAGACCAACTGTCTGAACAACTGCTTTGGTCGCGGTCGCTGCATGGAAGATGAGTGTGTTTGCGACGAGCCATGGACGGGCTTTGACTGCTCTGAACTCATCTGTCCTAATGACTGTTATGATCGAGGACGCTGTGTCAATGGTACCTGCTACTGTGAAGAGCGATTCACCGGGGAGGATTGTGGTGACCTCAGTTGTCCTGACAACTGCAACAACCATGGCATATGTGTGAATGGCCGGTGTGAGTGTCAGAGCAACTACAGTGGAGAGGATTGTTCAAAGCTTATATGCCCCAAGAACTGCCATGAAAGAGGCCACTGCTTCAACGGGAAGTGCATTTGTGATCCGGGCTTTGAAGGTGAAGATTGCTCAATCCTCTCCTGCCCTGACAACTGCAGCAACAAGGGTCAGTGCATCAATGGAAAATGTGTGTGTGACATAGGATACCAAGGTGAAGACTGCAGTGAGCTCTCATGTCCCAATAACTGCCTAGACCAGGGTCGCTGTGTTAATGGACAGTGCATATGTGACAAAGGCTATGCTGGGGAAGACTGTAGTGTCAAGACTTGTCCTAAAGACTGTCTAGGAAGAGGGGAGTGTGTGGATGGAAAGTGTAAGTGTTTTGTGGGCTTTACAGGCAAAGACTGTAGTGAGTTGACATGTCCCAATGACTGCCTGGACAGGGGTCACTGTGTGAATGGTCAATGTGTTTGTCATAAGGGTTTCACTGGAGAGGACTGCAGTGAGAAAACATGCCCTAAGAACTGTTTAGACAGAGGACACTGCATCGATGGAAGTTGTGTGTGTTATGAGGGATTTACAGGGCTGGACTGCTCTGAAATGACCTGTCCAGGAGACTGCCAGAACCATGGGCAATGTGTAAACGGAGTGTGCATCTGTGACGAGGGTTTCATTGAGGAGGACTGCTCTGAAGGTAAGATAAACCATGAAAATTTATTTTTTTTAAAGTATTGATACTATCAGTTCCTCAAGATGTTCCACTTCTTTTTTTTTTTGACAATTTAGGGGAATTAGGTGCTGCTAATGGCATATTTTTTATATAAATTTTAACAAATCATTAAACTAGATTTCAATTAGCTCTACAAAATCAAATGGAAAATTTTCCCATGTGTTTATGAAAATGAGTCTAAGATGAAGAATGAAGAGGAAATCCGCTCCAAGGGAACAGTCAAAGTTCCACATTACAGCACAGTTAACTGTGTGGAAGATGATATCAGGTCTTAGCTGTTGAAATACATGCTATGACTTAAAAACATACATACTGTTAGGGTTAAACGTAAGCATGAATTTTATTGTGGTTTAAATGTTTCCCAAAATGTTTTTCCAATGTGTTAAATCTGCTTAGTCTCAGTAAAAGTTTTGGGGGAAATACATTTTTAATCTGCTTTATTATCATCAGACCTATTTTTATTAAGACCTCGACATAAAGTATATTTGAAGCTGAGTTTTAAATACCAGCAATCCCAAATAGAAAAATATATTGGCTCGAATTAATTATGGCCTAAACTAGACCTGAAATCAGCAAATAATTAATGATTTCAACAACAGGGGCTGCTGTTTTATTCAGTTTGTCTATGTCGATGTGTGTCTGTCCCTATTAAATTAAATTTACTTCCATTGATTTCAAGTTTTGGCCAGTTTTCTTTTACTGTAGCTTCAGACCTCAGAATGGGGCTTCAACTACACACAACCTTCTAAATTTTCCTTAAAGCTATGAACTCAGGGGGTCAAACTCATTTACTCAGAGAGTCATTATAGGTCAGGCTTTACACACACACACACACACACACACACACAC